AAGGAGGCGCAGGGAGCTAGGCGGACGCGTTGTGTTCGTTTTGTTTCAGTTCGGGATAGGATTCGGATTTGGCGGCGGAGGACCGTTCCACCACGACGAGGGAACTGTTGAATGTTGAGGCGGACATATACACTCTAAATAGGGCAATTGTGGGTAAGGTGTCCTGGACATTTTCATTGGATAAAAAATTCATTCATAACGAGGCGCTTCCTAGGTGCGAAGAAAAAAAATGCTTCGTTTCTAAGAAGGATTTGGCACTTTGCTTCCTAGGGTTTTAACAGTGTGGTCAGCCAATTGGCTACGGTTTGGCTACCGATTGACTGACGATGACCTGCCGTTTAATTGCGCTTGACCTCACCGTCACCACGACAAGATTCAGACGACAGTCAGACTGTTACTTTGCCTCGGGCAGGCAAGGCAAGTCTTTACCACTGGTTGACGTTTCTTTTGATATGTGCGTACGTAGTAAAATTTCGTTGTAGGAAGTGATTAAGTTGAGGAAAGGGGAAGCGGCGGGTAGCATTTAGAATGTTTGATCAACTGAGTAACTAGAGTCCTCATATCCGTTATGTATCAGATTTTGGTGATGATCATCTAGGAGGCACCTGGAGTCGACACTGGTAAAACAAGTGTTTAATTTTGCACGTCAATTGACGTTTAAGTTCAAGTGTGCATTTTCTCGACACTTTATGGTGTCTAACTTTGTTATACGTCAATTGGTGTTTAAAATTTCGACACTTCCGAAACGTGTAGCAGCTGTACACCGTATGGTTCCCTATTGACAGCATACAACTGTGTGTGCCCAAGTGTGCAGAATTTAAACGTTTACAAAACGTCTAAAATTTGCACACCACGCAAGTGTGCAACTTGAGTTAAACACCATGTAATGTGCAAAATCACAACTTGCACACGTTGGTGTGCAAATATTGCACACTTGTTTTACCAGTGGACGTACACGTTATAGGCGCGATGTGGGGTGGGGGGCTCACAGACTGGAAGGAGGCTCTCGAAGTGATCTGGAGGCGGCGCTGCTCCGCTCGTTACGTCTGTGTTTGCCCTCGGGCTCTGGAAGTGCCTCGCGCTACGCGGCGCTACGTGAGGTACTTTGGGGGCGCGGCGGGGTGGCGGCGTGTTGTTGGGCTGGACGGGGCTGGGCGGGGCGGGAGCGGATGGGGCCGGGCGGGGCTGTAGGGGGCGGTGTGGCGCGGTGGGACAAAACGCGTCGCGCCTCTCTTACGACCCGGCTGTGCTGCGCGACATGAAGACGAACACGGGGCTTATCTCCCCGCCTCACTCTCTAATGTCGGCCACCGAGCGCCGCATTCTATTGATTCCACGGCGTATTTATTTTCACGAGGACAAACAAGCGCCTTCCTTCGCCACGCGCGCACAGGGCCTCGTCCCACCCCTGCTCCGGCGTCACGGCCTCGGAGACGCGTCCAGATGGTGGCGCGCCCGGCCCGAGGTGTGGCGGCTGCTGGAACGAAGCAAGTTTCGTCTCCGACAAACATGAAATATGGTCGGGTTGACGTACCCCCTGGCCTTTCTCCTCGCTCGCTCACTCACACTCTTCTTCCCGTATGCCCCCTTCCCCTCCTCCTCCTCCCGTCTCTCTCTCTCTCCGCCTGTCGGCCGCGGAGAATAAATTACATTTTGTTTCGCTACAATGAAGATGGCCTCGAACCGCAAAGCAAGACAGATGCTTCCCACCTCGGAATTTCACTTTTGGCTTGTCGAAGGTGTGTGTGTTGTCCGCAGCAGGAAGCGCTCCGGGACTCCGGGGAGCGGCGGCGGCAGATAAGAAAGGGGTAAAAGTAGATTAGAGAGGGATGTAATGGACGGGAACAAGCAGGCTGCGCGTCTAACGACCGGCAAAAACAAACCCGAGTGCAGCGCCGAGTAATCCTCACGACGCAGCTCTCAAAAGCACGGCGCCACGTCGCCGCGCGCGCGCCTTAACCATCGCTGTCCTATGCAAACCAACTCTCCATTCCTCCAACCCGCTCTCTCGCTCCTTATTCTTTTGCTCCCCCCTCTCTCTTTCT